AAATTTTTTTCCATTGAAAAAAAAAAAAAAAAAGCAGTGAACTGGAAAATCAATTTCCACCAAATTGGTGGGAATTGAATTTCCCCAAAATCATGGAAAATAAGGCGTGTGTGCCTTGGCCAAGAAAACAATTTCCCCTCCAAATTTTACTCATCAAACATGTCAATTGGTGGGAAAAGGAAATTAAATTCCAAGTTCCATAGAAAAAAAGCAAATCAAACAGGCCTAAATGTTTTAGGCCGAGTGAGCAAGACACAGACCATGAAGGACCACTTAATAAATAGTATGAATAATGGATAATAATCCCTAAAAGTAACTATCTTAGGTTTCTAAGTTCGATTATTAACCCAAAGAATTGAAAAGGATGTGATACATAAGGTCAGAGCACATTTGATGAAATGAAGAAGTGCTACATGGATTCTCTATTATAAATATATCCTTATAAGGTTATACAACCAATTCTATATAACAAAAAGGATATTCGATGAATTCTCTATTATAAATATATCCTTGTTTTCTATTGAACCTAGAATATTTGGTAGTACTTGTTATGTTCGTGACGTTCGTCCCCAGGTAACTAAATTAGATTTTAAATCCTTAAAACGTGTTTTCTGGGTAACTCTCATCTACAAAAAGGGTATCGATGCTACCGTCAAGAGTCTTAACAAGTATCTTGTGTTAGTTGATATTACCTTTCTGGAACATATTCCTTTCTTTCCCACTATACTTTTTTTCAATAAGGGGGAGGATGTCGATCTGTTGGTTTATTATGTCACTTACCAATCACCTAATATTGTTTCTACACCTGTTGATCCCACACCATAACCACCATCACCACTACCACCACCACCTATTCACCAGGTCTATTCCAGACGATGTGACCCTCCTGATGCATATTCGACACCTGTCTCTTCTTCGGCATCGGATCCCGTGTCCAGTGATCTTGATCTACCTATTGCTCTTTGCAAAGGTAAATATCAGTGCACTTATCATAATTCATCTTTTGTTTTTTATGATCAATTGTCTTCTTGTTCTCTTGTTGCTTTCTTTGACTCTGTGACTCTTCTGATGTTCATGAAGCCTTATCCCATCCATGTTGGCGTGATGCTATGATAGAGGAGATAAATGCCTTAAATGATAATGGTACTTGGGATTTAGGAAATTTACCCGCAGGGAAAAAGGCTATTGGATGTAAATAGGTGTTTGCAGTCAAAGTCAATTCTGATGGATCAGCGGCTAGGCTTAAAGCTCGTCTGTGGCTAAAGGCTATGCTCAGACTTATGGTGTGGATTATTCCGACACTCTCTCCTGTAGCTAAATTGAAGTCTGTTCGCTTATTCATTTCTATGGCAGCTACTCATAATTGGACTTTACATCAATTAGACATAAAAAATGCCTTCTTACATGGCGATCTCCAGGAGGAATATATGGAGCAACCGACTGATTTTGTTGCTTAGGGAGAGCATGGGAAATTGTGTCGTCTTCGAAAGTCCTTATATGGTTTGAAACAGAGCACACGTGCTTGGTTTGGAAAATTTAGTCGGTCAGTGGAAAAGTTTGGAATGCAAAAGAGCAAGTCTAACCACTCAGTCTTCTACAAACAATTTGAATCCGACATTATTCTCCTCGTTGTGTATGTTGATGATATTGTTATTACTGGCAGTAATACTATAGAAATTTCATCTCTGAAGTCCTTTCTTCACACCCAATTTCACACAAAAAATTTAGGGGTGTTGAAGTATTTCTTGAGAATTTAGGTGAAAAGAAGCAAGCAATGCATCTTCTTATCTCAAAGAAAATATGTGCTTGACTTACTAACTGAGACGGGAAAATTGGGAGCTAAGCCAAGCAGTGCTCCAATGCTTCCTAATTTGCAACTTACCAAAGATGGTGACTTATTTGAAGATCCTCAGAAGTGTAGAAGACTGGTTGGGAAATTAAACTATCTTACAGTAACTCGTCCTGATATTGCGTATTATGTCTGTACTGTTAGTCAATTAATGTCTTTCCCAATAGTTCACCATTGGACAGCTTTAGAACAGATCATGTGTTATTTAAAGGGAGCTCCTGGACGTGGGATACTGTACAGAAATTAAGGACATACTTACATCGAATGCTTCTCAAATGCAAATTGGCCAGGTTCCAAGATTGACCAAAGATCCACTAGTGGTTACTGTGTTTTTGTCGGAGGAAATTTAATCTCATGGAAAAGTAAGAAGCAAAATGTTGTACTCCGATCCAGTGAAAAATCTATGACACAATCTGTATATGAGATAATATGTATATATCAGCNGTAGTAATACTTTGGGAATTTCATCTCTAAAGTCCTTTCTCCACACCCAATTTCATACGAAAGATTTAGGGGCGTTGCAGTATTTCTTGGGAATTGAGGTAACAAGAAGCAAGAAAGGCATCCTCTTATCTCAGAGAAAATATGTGCTTGACTTATTAACTGAGACAGGAAAATTGGGAGCTAAGCCAAGCAGTGCTCCGATGCTTCCTAATTTGCAACTTACCAAAGATGGTGACTTGTTTGAGGATCCTGAGAAGTATAGAAGACTGGTTGGAAAATTGAACTATCTGACAGTAACTCGTCCTGATATTGCGTATTATGTCTGTACTGTTAGTCAATTAATGTCTTTCCCAATAGTTCACCATTGGACAGCTTTAGAACAGATCATGTGTTATTTAAAGGGAGCTCCTGGACGTGGGATACTGTACAGAAATTAAGGACATACTTACATCGAATGCTTCTCAAATGCAAATTGGCCAGGTTCCAAGATTGACCAAAGATCCACTAGTGGTTACTGTTGTGCTCCGATGCTTCCTAATTTGCAACTTACCAAAGATGGTGACTTGTTTGAGGATCCTGAGAAGTATAGAAGACTGGTTGGAAAATTGAACTATCTGACAGTAACTCGTCCTGATATTGCGTATTATGTCTGTACTGTTAGTCAATTAATGTCTTTCCCAATAGTTCACCATTGGACAGCTTTAGAACAGATCATGTGTTATTTAAAGGGAGCTCCTAGACGTGGGATACTGTACAGAAATTAAGGACATACTTACATCGAATGCTTCTCAAATGCAAATTGGCCAGGTTCCAAGATTGACCAAAGATCCACTAGTGGTTACTGTGTTTTTGTCGGAGGAAATTTAATCTCATGGAAAAGTAAGAAGCAAAATGTTGTACTCCGATCCAGTGAAAAATCTATGACACAATCTGTATATGAGATAATATGTATATATCAGCTCTTAACTGATAATGGTCTTAAAGCTTCAATACTGGCAAAGTTGTGGTGTGACAATCAAGCTGCTCTTCATATTGTTTCTAATCCTGTGTTTCATTAACGAACTAAGCATATTGAGATTGAATGTCATTTCGTTCGTCAGAAGATTCAGCAGAATTTAATCTCTACAAGATATGTGAAAACTAGAAAACAACTAGAAGATATTTTTACAAAAGCTCTAAATGGGATTCATGCCGATTATATTTGTAATAAGCTGGACATGATTAATATCTATACTCCAACTTGAGGGGGAGTGTTATGAAGTGTAAATAAATCATACAGCCTGTATATAGGCTTAATTATAGGGATTGGTAGGCTTAATTATAAGGATTCCTAATTAGTATAGTTTCTTAATATAATCTTCTCAATCTGTATATATACGTATCTTTTCTTATGAATAAAATCGTCAAGAATTTATTTCCTTTCTTTGTAACAGTAATGAGTGCTAAATTGTTAACACACAAAATGTTTATAAGATGAATGCAGTAGAAATGAAGATGACAACATCAACATGGATGCGTGGTCATTCTAAAATAATAAGATTGAAATTGAAATATATGCTAATAAGTAGGGGTTGTGCCAAGTAGAAGATAAATTAAGGATCTGTTTGAGCCCCCCCATTTTTTGGAAAGGTAATCAAATATTTTATTAATCAAAGATTCAGTGTATTATCAATTTAAACCAGAAAGGAACAACATGAAGTTGGGCAACCCGTTTATATGCCTAGTAGCCGTAGCATTAAGCCCCATTTTTATTTTTTTATTTTTGTAAAAATGAGTTTTGTAATGGTGATTCTTTTAGAGAATGTGTGGTTAAAATGTAAGGAAAAATTTTGATTTTACATGCAAAATTATTTTTTTAGGAAAATGTGTGGTTGAAAATGAGTTTGGAAAGAAATGAGTTTTTAGAGAATGAGACTCAAACAAGGGCTAAGAGAGGAGCAACTTAGGTACATGTTTTTCATAGGCCTAAAGAGGCCCCCATCATAAGAGTGACACGATCTTGGTAGAACATGTTAGAAAAGAGAAGGGTAGACCAAAACTAACATGACATGTGGTTTTCAGATCTAGTTTCTTTAGATTTTCCTATAGATGCAGCAATTACCCAAACAAATTCCCTCATACCAAATTGTAGTTGAACAAGTTAATAGTTCCTGTACAACTTGTTGCTAGGGACGATGTGGTAGTTTCTGGTAGACCCTTTGCTTTAGGGAAGATGTTTGGCATTTATCAAAGGGTTGTTGACAAGACGACTGGAAGTACTTCACTCAACAGAGTTTGTTTCATCTGCAAGCTCTAACTGTACTCTTTTGTGACATAGCAAGGAGTTTCTCTTTTATTTATTTTTTTTCCCCTCCAGTTGGGGGGTTGAGGCTAAATATATGGCATTGGAAATTGGGGATAAATCCAAGAACAATAATTTATTGTAGAAGGTGATGCCTGATCAGGGTAGTATATTCTTAAGAATCTTAACTGAAAAAGGGCTTTAATAAGGTGTGCGGGCAAGTATTCCTAGTTGTAAAAATGACTATAAACCACTACATGCACTTTAATTCCATTAAAGTAAGTTTAGATTAACTTTATAATAAGCTGTTGAAAGAAAGCTATTCAAGTGGGTAGAAAAGCTGGAAACTGTAGATAATTAAATATAACAGTGATACATGAAGATTTTTAGTTCTTCAGCCAAAATATAGTAACACATGTTGTTACCTTCAAGGGAAGTCTACGCTCTCTTCCTGAAGGGTTGATCAGACCCTTCTGCTTCAAGGACTCCATTGAGACCTCTTCTCCCTCTTGGAATCCAGCAGCTTCAATATCTTTTAAGTTCACCGGGACATATTTTGGTAGTCCAGCATGCATGCCTTAATTAATGAAAGGAATGCATGCATTAGTAAGAATATGCCTCAAATGCAGTACACGATCATGTAAAAAGCCAGAATACAGCTATCTATGGTAATCAAACATTTCAATTAAAGTACATGGAGAATCCCAATCAAACTATAAAATGCATAAAGATCAATCCCTTGAACTTGGTATCACCCAGTAAGACACGTGCAGAACCTTCAGAGACTAAGCCTGAACCAGGCAAAGCAACGTCATACAATTATATCATTGACAAGAATATCTTGCCTTCATAAACACTTCTCCTTGCTTATTTGATTACCAAGGTTATGTGTTCGGAAAAAATGAAAAATAGAACATAATCAAGGAATCTTAAGAGAATCTCAAGGCTTCATTCCGCATTACTCCAGTGAGTACAAAGAGAATGAAATATTCCACTACTTAAGAATTAGTTCTAGGAAACAACCTTACAAATATTGTCCCTGAACTGGAAAAGTTCAAATTTATGACCATAAAGATATTCTGGGCTACTTGAAACCTTATTATAGAAATGGTTCTAACTTAAGTTGTTGCAAGACTCAATAAAAAACATAAAACAATGAGTTTTTTTTATATAGTGGGTGGTCATTGGCCGATATCTTTTCTTCAACTGCACAAGCTAAATTTTTTCGAACTGTCATCAACTTTAACAAAATATGGAGGCTAATTCTGCCGCACATTGACAACCTCAATGAGCAGAATTACAACATACAATTACAATTATATAAAGGGAACCACTATTTTCATCCATCATTCTTATATATCTATCCACTTTTAAAAAAATTTCTACATTACATTATGTAAATTTACTAAAATAAACAAGAATAAAACCAAATAAAATCTATCACTCTAAATTCATCCACTTATATTTATCCTCATTAAATGTTTTTGGACCTTTCATACTCTTTTAAACTTTACATTGAACTAAAACCGTAATATTCAGAAATCATCTACAACGTCTCTAATGCCCACGAACTTTTAGTTTTCCTGGGAGTCTATTTCTGCCCCTAGTCTTGATTTGTCAACATGTCCCCAAGTTTTTGATACTAAGGAATTATGGATGTGATAGAGCAGCTGCTACTATCATAGACACACATGAAGTAACATGTTGACCTGCTTTTTTTTTTTTCACTTGTGTGCTTTCTATTTTTTTCTTTCTAAAATGAAGTGTCGTTATCACTCTTCCTTGGCAATCTAAAACATAGATTACCTACCTTATTGGGAGTTAATATACTTCAATTGACAACGGTTATTGTGATTGATTCATTTTACAAGCTTGATATTTTATCTCTAGTGGCATGGCTTAGCTGTTGCAGATTATCTGCAAAGTTTATTTAAACATATATTTGTTTCATTTTATATTTTATTCATATCCTCTTGCATTGAGCTTTGACAACTTAAAAATATTGTTCTATCGGTTTCATAACTTACTGCAGAGATTAATTGGTTTTACCACGTTTGATTGGTTAATAAAGTGTTTTAGCTTTGTTGGCTAAGCTCATTTTCTTTATCCTTTTCTTTCAAGAAATAAAACGACGGTAATTATATTTTTAAAATTTAGAGTGGGATAGATACATAAAAGTTACGTGGATATATATTGTTTAAATGAATAAATTTAATAAGGATAATGTTGGAATGTAACGTGGATGAATATAGTATTTTTTCCTAAATTTTAAAAATTTTATAGGGATAGATTTAGAGTGTGATAGATATATAATTGGTGGAGGAAAATAAGGGTTCCCTTGTATAAATTACACAGATTGGAAATCCCGTAAATGGGAAACAAATTGATATTTTCCATTTAATTTCAGGTCAAGAAATTAATAATACTACAACACATAACCCAAAATTATTCACTACTAAAAGTATTTCACTCACTAAAACCAATTCTACATTGAAATAATTATACTAAATCTCCACGCATTCATGCAACAATCAAACAAACCCAATTTTTAGTACTCTCCGAATTTATTCCAAAAACTCCAGAAAATCACACAAATGGAACAGAACACAATCTTTATTATAAATTTACCTCCAGCAATCCCTCTCAGCTTAGGAATTCTTCTGTACAGCGGCATTTGACCCCCTTCGAACCCCTTTCGGACTCCAGGTCCCGACCTGGATTTCTGACCCCTCATTCCAAACCCACAGCTGCCCCCTTGTCCAGCAGCATGACCTCTTCCCTTTCTCTTTGCCTTCTTTCGAGACCCGGGTTGAGGACCCAAGTTATCGAGCCGAAAACGAACGCTGCTCTGTGTTGTAGTAGAAGAATCTTCAACCGCAGAAACTACTGAACTGAGTACGATTAGTGGTGATTTTGGCCTGGTATTTTTTTGGAACAATTTTACACCTGGAAATGGAATTGGAATTGGCTTCAACGTTCTCACATTGCCCTGTTTAGTCCAAAAAGTGGAAAAATCAGAACTTAATTGAGTCAGAAAATGGGATTTCTCGTTTTTATTTTTATATATATATCGTGCAATTTATTCAAACGACAGATATAGAGGAAGGATTAGTGAGTACCTTGAAGGAAGAGGAAGGATGATGGAGGATTGGCGTAGTTCTTGAAGGGGATGGAGAGGAGAGGGCTAATAGAGAAGCCATTGAGAGACGGTTGTAGACTTGTAGTGGTGTCCAATGCTTGAAGAAAGAGGAAATTCGGATAGGGATGGACTCGGCCCGCCTAAGAATAGAGGAAATTGTATCATAGGTCAAAATTCACAAATTCATCTCTAAGAATATTTCTTTTCACTAAATTTGATATTTCAATTCTTGCAGGAGAAATTCACTATGATTTCAACTTTGATATTTCAATTCTTGTAGGAGAAATTCACTATGTTTTCAACTTTGATTTTCAACTCTTGTAAATAATAGAAATAATTAATTGTTTTAATTAATCTACCTATTATCTATTGTGTAATAACTTAATTTCACTGTTAACTTTTTCAACAAGTTACACATCTAGTGTTCGCATTGAATGTGCATTAAACCCATATAAATAGTGATTTTTTGAAAAATGTGTCATTAAAAAGTAGAAAAAAGATTTGAGTTTACGTGCAAAATATTTTATTGTAATAATGTGTGATTGAAAATGATTTTGCGAGGAAATAAAAAGAGTTTTTGTTTTAATGGTGATTAAATGTGTTCAAAAAGTAACAAAAAGGGTAAATTGGACTTTTTGCACAAAAAATGACATTTTTTTTCATAATTTTGAAAAAGTGATAAGTTCTTGGTGTATTTTCATATTAATGACATCTATGCAAATGCTTCATAAAAAAATGAAAGCATTTTTTATTTAAGTCAAATAAACATGTCCTTTTATACTAAAAATCTCTAAAAAGAAAAGAAAAAAGAATGATAGAAAAGTGTATGGATGTTCGATAAAAAAAGTTATTTATAAATGAGCACCGACGTAATGGTCCAATCGAAATGTGATTTCGTTACGATGTACGTTGATAACAATATTTTACACTTATTTAGTTCCCAAGCTAGATTAAAGGTCGATTAATGAGTGGATTTTTTATTCATTTTACGTTGTATTTGAATTTTGTACCTTAAATTTGAGATTTAAAGATGATTGAAGGAAAATAAAGTGATTCTAGGTGTTAAAAGGACCAAAGGATAGTGATATAGGCATTCATGTCGTCTCGAGCTTTAATGTCTCGATGAGTGGTATATTCTAAACTGGGCCAAATGTCCTCGAGTATGCTATGGTCCTTGGGTATCTTGAGGACTATAAATATGACTTACGGTAACATGGTGACGGAGTTCTCGGGATGTGTCCTTGAGCATTTTCCTAAGCCAAACTCAAAAGGTTTCCTTAGGCATGGACTGATTCAACATTCTAGGAATCCTAAGTCTATTGAAATACCTCAAAGTTAAGACTCCTATGTCCGGAAGGAATCTATATCGCTGAGTGTCATGGTCAAACTATGATTAGATCTATAGTTGCTGTGCAATACCTATCTCAAGCAGAATTCCTAAGGATAAGGAAACGTAGCAAACCAAGTCCAACCAGGATTGGGTCACCTACCTTTATAAATACAATTCTCCAATTCATTATTCATGTACATTTTTGCATATAATTTCAGCACCCAAACTTTTTGCATATTTTCTCTCTGACTTAGACATCGGAGGGGCGATGAGGATACACTTCAACGTCTTTGTTTCAAGTATCGGAAGATCACATTTGTGCTCATTTTCATTCATCAAACTCGAAATTCAATAGGTGGGATTTTTGGTAACATCATTGGCCTCGTCTGTGGGAGTCGCTACCAACAGCCATGGTGAATACATGTTCGGGTCTTCCTCCAGCAAGCTCATCTGCTCCAAACCAACCTCCTGTTACGGAGCACCCAATCTATTAAGAAGAGTCATCGGTGATACCAGATCCTCAACCAGCAGTGGTTACCGCTAGAGCATTCGAAGAACTCCGTCAGCAAGTTGCAATGCTGACTCAGTTACTAGGTCAAAGAAATACTCCTTCAGCTTCAGCACCAGTATAAGAACCTACCCCGGCTCAACTAGGGGGTTTCATGGCTGATGCTTGAGCTAGGGACACTCGTGTTGCCCATGACAATGGTGGATCTAGGGCCTCGAGCATACCCCCAGTGGCCTCAGCCTCAAGATTGGTTACCGTGGACTTAGGCGAACTTGCTCGGATCATACAACATGGGGTTACAGTTGTCCTATTGCAGAATACCGAGGGAACAACATGATTTACCCGTAACACGCCGTTCACGCCAGAGGTTCTTTCCTATCTGCTCCCCGGACATGTTCAAATTCCTCCGTATAAAGGAGTATGACAGGACCGTTGACCTCATCAATCACCTCAATATTTACACAGATGTCATGAACCTACAGGTTACACCAGACCCAGTAATGTGTAAGGCCATTCCTCAAATTTTGACCAATGCTGCCAGGGATTGGTTCGCCACGCTGGAGCCTAATTCTATAGCATCATTCTCAGATCTTGCCAATAAGTTCTCTGCCTTCTTCGCAAGTAGTAAGCGTATCATGAAAATAGCAGCCACCCTCATGCAGCTCCGCCAGGGCTCAAATGAGACCTTACGTAACTTCATGACGGGATTCAACAAAGAAAGGTTATAGGTACCCGACCTTCACATTACATTGGCTGTTTTGGCTCTAACATATGCAGTAAAATGTGAAGCCTCCAGGATGTCTTTATCTAAGATACCACCAAAGTCAGTGATTGAGCTCCTCACCCGAGGAAAAAAGTACATGGAGAAGGCAATTAAAGCTAATCTGAGCTCTAAGAAGCCCCAACTTAAGAGAGCACATGAGCTAAACTTGCGACAAGATCATGCTCAAGGAAAACAAAAGCAGGAAGTACCACCTAGGCTGTTCACACGTCTGAATACCTCTAGGAAAAACATACCGATGGAGATTAGGAATATAAAGGAGCTTAAATGGCCTCCTAGGTTACGATCTCTCCCGGAGATCGGGGATAAGAGCAAATACAGTAACTACCATAGGGATCATGGGTATACAACGGAGGAGTGCATGACATTATAGTGGGAGATCGAGGATGTGTTATGTTACTGGCATCCGAGCTTTGAGCGATGATGTCATGCAATTATCTACACCTGGGCTCGGGCTCAAGCTCGAGCATCAGGAGAGACTCGCTCTAGTTAAAGATTTGGTAGAGGTTGAGCTCGAGCATGGGAAAAAAGTGACCATCGGCCGAGATCTTGACTCCCCTCTCAAGGATGAACTCATCAAGTGCCTATCCCACAACATTGATGTATTCGCATGGAAGGTTGAAGACATGCTGGGTAAATACCCCATTATGGTGGTACATAAACTCAATGTAAGACTATAGGTGAAGCTAGTAAAGCAAAGAAAGAGGCAATTTACGCCGATAAATGGGTGGTAATACGCGAGGAGATCAATAAACTCGTGAATGCTCAGTTCATAAGGAAGGTTCAATATCCGATTGGCTCGCCAACATTGTTCTTGTCAAGAAGGCTAATGACAAGTAGAGTGTGCGTATTGACTTCACAGATCTCAACAAGATGTGTCTAAAAGACAACTACCCTTGCCTCGAATTGATAACTTGGTAGACAGTTGCTTGGGTCACAAATTGTATAGCTTTCTTGATGTATTCTTGGGCTATCACAAAATCCTTATGGCTGAAGAAGATAAAGAGAAAACGTCCTTCATAGCTGACTCAGTCATATATTACTACAAGGTCATGCCATTCAATTTGAAAAATATAGGGGCAATGTATTAAAGGCTCATCAACAAAGTCTTCGTTGATCTGATAGGGAAAAACATTGAGGCCATGTCGACGACATTGTGGTCAAGAGTAAGCAGGTGAATGAGCACATAGCCAACCTTGAGGAGGTGTTCTCTAAAATTTGAAGGTATAAGATGAAGTTAAACCCAACAAAGTGTGCTTTTGGGGTGGTCTTAGGAAATTTGGCCTGAGACACCTAAGGTACGGAAGCATAAAACTTCTGCGAAATAGGACTCCTTGGACAATGCAATATCTCGGTGCTCTAGATAGGATGCTCCTAGCTACTCTTAGGTCATCGAAAAGATTCCCATTAGTTGTGAATTTAACTATGGGGTCCATCCATAAGGGCTCATTATCAATATCCATGACACTGGGTTTTTGACCTATGCTAGGCTCTGTCACCATTTTGATGTGGACTGTCTTATCAATTCCATCTACTTCCATGAAAATGAGTCTTAACAATGCATCTGCCTTACCATTATTAGCTCGGGCAATCTTCAGAATTTCGCAATCCTTGAATCGTCTCTGAAGTTCATGTACGTTCAGACAATATAAGCTCATCTTTTCATCCTTTCTTTCAAATTATCCCTCGATCTGCCCAACCACAAGTTGTGAATCGCTAAAGAGTTTGACGTATTCAATTTCAAGGCTATTGGCCAACTCCAGATCAATGACGACACCCTCATATTCTGCCTCATTGTTGGTAGCTTCAAATTCGAATCGGAGTGCACACTGAATTTCGATCAACTTATCTGGACTGCTAATTATGATCCTAGCACCCGACCCCGAGGATTTTGATGTCCTATAAACGAATATTTCCAAGTGTTCACCTTAGTGGTCGAGATATCCCATGGTCCCCGAGGCCTCGAGGTGAGCTTTGCAATGAAATCTGCTAATACTTGCCCTTTAACAGAAGGTCGAGGCATGAACTCTATATCAAATTCACCAAGTTCAGTTGCCCACTTTAACAATCTTTTCGAAACATCATGTTTTTGGAGTATCTGTCTGAGTGGCTGGTCTATGAGCACTACGATCGGATGTGATTGAAAATGCTGCTTTAGTTTTCGTGCTGCCATGACCAAAGCTAGGGCAAGTTGTTTTGCCTATGTGTACCTTGTTTCTACGTCAAGTAATACCTTGCTCTCATAATAGATGGGCTGTTGGGCTTTCTTAACTTCCTTGTCCAGTACGCCGCTCACTGCATTTTGAGATACGGCTAGGTAGAGGTACAATGTGTCTCCAGGCTCGGGCTTTGTGGGAATTGGAGGAGTCGCAAGTGTTTGTTTGAGTTCTTGGAAAGCTCTTTCACATTCATCATTCTAATTCAAACATCGATTGCCCTTAA